AAGTCCGGTTGCTCTAACCAGCAAGTCGTATTCGAGCCGCGTTCTTTACCGATCTTCATAATAAAGCGGGAGGGTCGTCACCTGCGCACGCGCGGGAATTGAGTTCCAGACGACGATAACAACACACGCTAAAACGCAAAGGCTCATGGGTAGACGCTTGTTTGTAAACAATGACACGCTATGGCCATCTGACGCATGCGCAGGTGGCGACAACCCCCGCTTTAACCACAATGTCAAACCAATACTCAGATGTGTGTTCATAGTACAATGTAATCAGCAATCCACATCATCAAACAACATTATTGAAAATTCTCTGTCCATATTCAGTGAGTATATGAAATAAAAATATACTATTGTGGTCTAGTTAAAATATAGATATGTTCAATAGTGTAAATGGCACATTTTGAAGGGCGGTAGTCATTGCACCACGCATGCGCGAGATGTATGGGTCTCGTATAAACAAAGATGGCAACTTTGACTGTTGCGCAGATCAACGAGTACGAACTGCGACATTACCAAGCTTTAGTTAGGTATTTTTTAGGTGATTGAAAAGTATCGAAGGAGTCACCGGCAATAATTAGTGCAGGGCGCGCCCAGGTCAAACATCATACTTGTGATTTCCATTAAAAGAGCGCATTGGATTGTGAGAAAATCAATGTTTATCAACACAAAAATCGCACATGCGCAGCGCGACGACCACCGCCCTTTAAGGCTGAAACATGACGTTTTGCCATATGATCGCCTTTATTCAATATACTGTAAAGGCATTATTGAACTTATTGTTTCGCTGGCAAATTCGAGAACTTAAAACCCAGTAGATATATACTTAAAATAACAAAAATATTGAATAATGCTAGTGAAAATAAATAAGTTTTACAGTACACGTTGAAAAGGTAATGGCCGCGAGATATCACAGATGGTGACCTTTTGGTCGTAAGTTATGTACATCTACTCCATCCATTGAAAGAATAGATACTGCTGAGTAGTACTGTAAATTTTCATTTTTCTCCGTTGAAACGATTAATCAATGGGAATAAGATCCAGTTAAAATACCCCTTTATATATATTTTACATTAAAGTCATCAAAAATCAGTGAAAATAAACAGACAAAATCAATTTTCATCGAAAATTAATTCCATCTAAAATGGGGTGTTTGACAGTATTTAGACATTCCATTAATTGACGAATAATTGTTTGAACCATAATTATTCACGGCCCACCATGTATGTATGTATTTTTTTCTATAATTTGCTCTCCATTTGTTATAAATCGTTATCATAATTTGTGAAAAAAATATGGAAATAAATACGCAGTTCATTTTCGAAAAGGTGACAAAAGATGACTTCATGTTTGGTTTTTCAAGGGTTACTTCCCAAAAGGCAAAGAAATCGTCTTTCAATCATTCAAAAAAGTGCCTGAATCCACAGTCACTATATATATATCTAAAAGTGCCACACCATAGAGGGCATAGTATGACAAACGTCAGCATTTCTGAAGGGTCTGTGGACGCTTTTGAAATGTTTGGTCAACGCAACAATGTTTTTTTTCCCGCCGGAAGAGATTGGGATGTGAGTCAGAGAAGATACTTTCATGGGATGTATACAATTTAAAGGGTGGCAGTCGTCGTACCGCGTCCTGTTCGATATGGGACTCATAGCGACGTATACAACGCGTGTAAAATACATTGTTTATTTACATGAAATTCGAACACGCGCTGCGCGACTACCACCGCGCTTTAAATATAGGCATTTTCTATATAAGTCACGTGAGAGTTGAACGTTTCCCAAATCTTACTGCGGTGTGTATCTTTCCCGGTCTAAAACCAACTGGATTTTGTTTATGCCAGTTAACACCTTGCAGGACATTATGGGAAGTTACGTGTTACCTTGAAATCACAGTACTCATGCGAAATGACGCCATTTATTTCAAAAAAATGAATATTCCATGCTCGATGTAGCTGGTAATAGAAGTACCACAGCGCCTTAAAATTCCCAACAATGATAATACAGAAAATTTGCCAAAATTTATTATGATGTGTTATTGTAATGAAAGCGACTATGGTAAGAGTACTATATAACGAATATATTATAATTGGTAGACTTGCTAGCAGTCATGAGTCTCCTGTCGCGAAAGTTCTGTAACCGCGAAATCCAATTTCGCGGTTACAGGCTTTTCGCGTTCACCCCTCGTTCACGCAATTTATATTTCTTTTTCATGAATTTTTCATTGGAATCGCAACACACTGCATTAAAGGACAGTGGTCGTCGCTTCGCGGGACACGGGACATGGTATACAGCGCGTGTAAAATACATTGGTTATTTACATAGAAATTGAAAACGCGCTGCGCGACGAAAAACGCCCTTTAAATCTGTAAGTAGGGGCTATAGCCTGACAAGGTAGCATGAGTTGCGCCTTCTGCAGTGCTTCAAACCTAACACAGAGGGCCTACTCACACCTACATGCCAGGCTAGTTGGGACTACAGTCGTGTTTGATTCCGCCCGCAGGCGTATGGAATTAAATGCGATTGATACATTTTTCGTCTGTATTTGATATACAAATTCCTGTAATGTTAAATAGGGTATAATTGTTTGATATATAATTGTTTAAAAGGTTTTAATGTTTACTCGTAATGCATACCGTTATATCTGATTGCTAATCTACGCCAATCAAGGTGTGCATTAAAGTGCGCCCTCTTTCGCAATTCGATATCCTGCAAACGTGCGTAACGTCTGTTGCCACATGTTTCCCAACTCTAAGTTAAGTTTAAGGTAAGTAAATTATGGAAACATATTTACTGAGTTGCTCCACATATTAGAGCCACTGCATTAAGGGTGTATTCATATTGTAGATACAATGAGGATAGTAATTCAAACCAAGTCCATCTATAGATAATAGAGGGACGTCTTACCGTCATTGCAACAGCACACAGTCGATTAACTTTTCATATAGTTGAATTAACTTTATAGTTGCGATATGAACTCTATTAAAATGCGTTCCTATATAAGGTTGTGTTTTAATTGGAGTTTAATTAAACTCAATTACAATGCAATTCGACGTAGAATTGAATTTTAATTATGTTTACCGTAATTAAATAAAAGTTGAATATCCCGTGACTGAACATAGAAATGTTTGCAAAGCTTAGGTTTAGTAAAGAAGGTAGGTATGGTACAATTATATTATGCCCCCCTTACTAAACCTAAGCTACACAAGTTTTACCTAAATTTGATTAAATATTAATATAAATTATATAAATAATAAGGTTCTGTCGTCCCAACGTTGTTACCACACATGCAAACACACACACGTACATGCACGCACACACTGACATGACTTTTGGACTACAAAATCATTATTAATTTATTTGTGCAGTATTGTACATTTCTTCAAATTCACAAGGACTTTATTTCACTCTCTCTACCATATGTGAATAACATTGAGTAGTTCTGGTCATTTTAAGAGATTTTGTTTGACAAAAATAGAAGCATCAGGGTATAATTTATTGTGAAATAAAATTGTCAACTTGGCAGCAATCATAGTAGTATTAAATCAATGAAATACTGAAAGCATTTGTGCAGCCCAGATTTATCTTTGCATATCCGTAATTTGAAATGTGCACTTACTAGCATTTTTATTATTACATGTTCCCTGTCAAAATTAATTTTTTGCTTTCCAAAAAAATCTTACTCTATTATTTGTATCAAGAAGAAGTATCAAACAAAATCATTTAAATTATACTAAAAATACTCATAAGTTATCCATATTGCAACAAAGAAAATCAGTGATCCTTCATCACTTCATACGTTAAAAAAGTTAATCATAAAACTATCTCTGAATAAAACAGACTATTTCCATATCATTATTTCCTACAAGTCTAAGTCCAAAATTGTATATTTTTAAAAATTTTGTTTACAAGAGAAATTGTTTAATTCCATTCTCACCAAGACTTTTTGTCATAAAATGATTGCAATTTTCTTCTATAAAAACACCATACCCATTTATGATTAAAGGTAAAATGTATGACATTTTTTTTTTGGATTTACTAAATATATTGTGACAGCGCCCCCAGTGCTGGAAAACAGATTTACCCCTGTTTATAATTTTATCTAAAATCAAAACAAACATGTGTGCATACACTCTTGATTATTATTGTTGTAACTAACATTAATTAATTACCATTGTCTTAATCAATTTCACTTGTGACTACCGATAGTTAGTGAAAAGTAATAAAAAGATCTTTTTTAGTACTGAGCCAAATACTTTTGCTGATACCAAATGTGGAAACATGTAATACCGCATGTATTTATTAATGTTGATATGCTAATAGCCGTTCAGGAATTCCATGAATTTACATCTTGAATTTTCAAGGTGACTGTTTGGCCAAAGCACTCCACTATTGAGCGTACAATGTACAAATAGAACAACATCGTGCAGGTGGAAAATGTGAATTTGTGGAGGCAGTATTCTGGAGCATTGAAAATGAATTGACACCACAAAGGTCATGTTGACTCAGTATTACATAGCTTGAAAAAATTGTCAGAATAACTCCCACAAAACATATTTGTAACTTTGTTTGCAAAGCGTTACAATCGACAAGAGTTCAAATTTTGTTTCAAAAGAAATCAATGTTGCATGACACAGAGTGATGACTGTGACCTTCTAACATTTTTATGGAATCCTATCCAGTATTATTCAGCCAATATATCAAAATATTAAACTGGACAAGCATCACACAACTCTTTATACATATGTGACGACTATGATAATATGTGTAAAACAAGTTGTTTGTTTAATTTTCCCGCCAAAATTTTGCAAGCAACAAATTGCAAATTTTCATATATTTTTAATTTTGAACAAAAAAGTTGAAAATAAATATAATTATCTGCTGCGTTCATGTCTTGAAAAAATTGTATTATTATTATTTTGTGAATACTACATACTCATAGTCCGCAGACAAGCATGCTTTTTTTTTGTCTTAGTCTTATTGAAATAATTATATAATTTAGAAATCTTCATACAAATCTACAATGTCCGCAGTTGGGTAAAAACCATCATGCGTCAATCCTTGGCCAATGGAACATAAATGTAAAAACTCCACACCTTGAGCACCAAAATAATACTCTGAGTATTTATCACACAGACTGCTAATCATAGTGGGGGCATGTAATTTTCCACCTACAAAGCGAGACATCTGTGCAATGGTCATATGTGGGACAAATTCACTGAATTCCCCAACTATTTTCAACCCAGCATTTTCAAAGCAGGACGTAAGTTGTTTATGGAAATTATCAAAGATCGGATCCGGGTTGGTGGCAGCGTAGAGGACTTGACCATGGAAATTCTGCAGTCCCTGGAAGTGTAGCATAATCGGCGATTTCAGTAAATGTGACAGATCATATTTGAGTTTCTGCAGTACTTCAAACGCAATCTGCATCTCTTTTCCAGTGTCTATTCGCAGAGTTGCAACCGTGATGTGAAGTTTGTCAATGGTAGAACAACAGTTTCTTAAATCTGGCACAGACTCCACAATCTTATCTTGCAATGTCTTCACAGCTTCACCAATAGCTGGGTTTGTAATACGCACAGCAATAAAGTAATTTGGTCCAATATGTCTAGGTCGGTCTGTTTTCGCAGCAGCTTCCATAGGAGTTTCAACTCCAACAGGTTCCACCACCCCGAAATCGTAATCTTCATAAGGCTCTTCACAGGCGGAATCAGTTTCATCGTCATCTTTGTCATCAGGATGTAACTGACGATACTTGTCAATAACTTCTAAAATAGTGGTGCCACTACCAGTTGAACCAAAGACATTGTCAAGTCTACAGTTTTTATCCCAAACAATTGTATCCCGATATTTGAAGTACTGAATCCGATGCTGAGGAATGGCCAATTCAAAATGATCATCCACCGAAGCCAGCTCAGACGTCCAGGTGAAAACAGTAAAAGGCTTCTCTATAATACCTAAAAATCGATCCAAATAACCGACAGTGAACCGTTTCTTAGAAAGACTGGAGTCCCACTGAATTCTGGATATGACATCACTAGCTGTTTTCATCGGTGGTTTCTTGGCGACAATTTCCTCCTCATTTGGAATCGATTTGTCTTTCTTTGTCACTTTCTCACTGTCGTTCATGTCAAGCTCCTTCAACTTTTTACATACAGTAATTTCCTCACCTACATGTGGATTTTTACATTTTTCACCAAATCTACATTTGCCTTGCAGATGAAACTGACACACAGTGACATCTTTATCTTGTTCCTCCACGACATCAGTGGTTGCTAGAGCAACAGCATCTGTTGTCTTCTTCTTGACCTGCACCCAGTGTTTGGTGAACTCCACCAAATTGTAAATCATGGCATCCCCGATATAATGTTTACCCATTTCATACAGCTTTGCAAACAGTTCTCCCACCATTTCGGCAGTAATACCACACCCATCTTGCAGCTCGATGTCGATACGTGGAGTCATCGCAGGGTATGAATCTAAGATGAAAATAAAAAAAAGTGTTACTTATAGGAATATAATAAAGATAAAACAATTGAGTAGTTCTGATAAAAAAAAAACATAGATATATTTCCCTGGGTGAATGATTTCAACTTACCGGTATATAAACTTGTATATATGTTGTATTGCTTGTTATCACGTGATTCAGCAAAACCACAGCACATCAACTATTTTTATTTTAACTAACATAACCTCTGTTCATACTTTACCTTCTTAGAAGAGTGATAACTCCACTCGCCTACTGTAAATCCATTAATTATTTTTACAAGTAAGTGAAATTCGCTAAATTGAATAACAATAGAACTTACTGTTTCCCTGCCATGTTCGTGACAACATTTTTTTGAAAACTTAGTCAGATTCAATAAAAAGTAAAAGTTTTTTTTGAATAAACTCTTGTCTATCACTAATAGGTATATTACAGTGTCAGTAAAGCAGGTTTTTTTTAAAATTTTCTTATACACAATCTTGGCACAACAGTCAGTTTGCACCTGGTATATGAATGGCCAAACCACAATTCTGCCAGCAGCACTGAGCAAAGTCCTTTATCTAAATAAAAGCATGCCCTCTATGGCAAAATTGGAAAATGCATCTCAAATACATTGAGGTCACCCAAATCAGTAAATAAAAATAGTTATCAAAATTGATGATTATCATTTAAAAAAGAACTTACATGAAAAAAACATAATAACATTAATTTTGAAAAACAAATTGACTAGATATGAACAAACTCTATAATGTCAGAATATGAGATTTGGCATGTCATGTGATAGTCATGTGATATTCAACCAACCAATGATAATTGATAGCTCTTGAAGGTTACATGTAAACTTTGCATAATTGTGGCATAATGCAAATAGTCACTCAGCAAAACAAAACAGCAAATGAGTACACCAACTACTACTGAATCTACTGTTAACTCAAAAACAGAGGCAGAAGCAGAAGGAAAAGCAAAATAAAAATAGAAACATTTTTATTTTGGTGTTACGTTAACACAGAAACCAAGAATGTATTTAGACCTACCTGATAAACTGAATGTTAGGACAATACCAGTACCATCCGGAGTAATCTGGATCTTGTTGCTACAGCAACTAGTACCAGTACATGATAAGAGATGAAATTCGTCATTATAAATGGAGCGTAACGCTTCAATCTCCTCTTGCTGGTCCTCTAAATGAGAATCGCTTTGTGTCGCCATGATAAAACGGCGTTGAGGACACGACTTATGAGACTGTTCAGAGATAGCAGACAAAAAAAAAAAACATGTGTTATTGACATAGACCAAAATATAAATTAAAAATTGCATTTATGAATCAATAATGTGTAACAAAAATGGCGTAATATGTTCCATTGAAAACCAGCGCATGCTGACCAGAAAAGGATCTAATTTTTCGGCTTTAACTTTATTAGAACTGCATGTGTTTATGTAATTGCTCTGTTCACAAAACAGAAGACAACGGTGATAAACTTTCTGTTTAATGTACAGAAAATTTCACAAAGGCATGAATGAATTCAGGAAATTTTATAATTTAAATTCAAAGAATAAGATTTCATTGGTTATAGAAGTCATTTGATAATGGTAATGACCCATGAGCTTTTGTCGATTACCTTCAGTGATTGGTCAAGTTACTGCCATGCAAATTTTATTAACGTGTTGTGGTTAGTTGTTTTCAACCATCAAATTCATTTGACTGGATCTTGTTGTCAGAAACAGTTTACAATAGCTAGACTTGCAAGAACAGCATCCCCCAAATAGAAATTTGGACAGAGAAATGTTGCATTTTCATCCCAAAATCCACCATGAATCAGTTGTATTTGAATACATAATGCAAGGAATGAAAAGGAATATTTCTCAAAGTGACCAAATTCACTGAAAAACCTTTTCAAAACAAAAAAGGCTCAGAATTAGTAATCAATAAGTAATCCATACTGTGGTCACTGCGATGTGTCTTTTTCAATATGGGTCCCACACAATGTTGCATTGTTTGTTTGCACAAAATCTGGATGTGTGCTCACACTGACCACCACCCTCAAATTTCTTTCATGAAACTCTACACATGCCTTTATTAAAATTGTATTATTTTTATTACGAAATTGCAGGTAAAATGACAGATATTAATCAACCAAATTTCAACAATATAACCAATTTCCCAGTTTTAATTCATTCCTTTCCAAATCATGATGATGACCACATAACAAATCGATAGTGAATTCTTCTATCTGATTGTGGCAATGGCATAGCAATGTTAGAAGTTAGGAAAATATAAAGAATATTTAGAACAGCGTGTACATGTGTCTGTAAAATTCGGTGTATTGATCATGTGAATTTAATTTAATTTTATATATTTAATTTTTATTATATACTTTTATTATTTTGTAATTGTTTTTATTATTATTATTATTATTATGTACATCTTATTCTGTATTACTTGAACTATTGCCACATACTTACCTTGTTCGCTTTCGCGATTATCAAAACTTCTAAAAACTAGGATCATATTTAATCAGATCTACCGGTAGCCACAAACCCCTCTTTGATTTTTTTTTAGAAATATTTATAAAGTTCAATGGCAGTTGAATCCAACCAACCAATCAGTGAGCATAGTGAGCATACATATTTCAAAATGTTCCAAAGTTACTCCATTGGCAAATAGAAACCTATCGTCTCAGTCTGATTTGTGAAATTTATAAATATCAAGGAAATGAGTTTATGGTCTGACAGTAGTGCAGAAAACAAATAATAACAATTATCATGTTTTGTTTTGTGAAATATACTCACCAACCTAAGGTAACTAAGATAATAATAACTAATAATAGCATACACATAACATATGCATGTAGTACTTTTATCTATGTAATGTAAATGTTGGAGCTTGATATTACACAAATACATGTGGTGTTATTTCGATTGCACAATTAACACAAATTTTATATAATATTTTGTAGCGCAAATATCAATCAGTACTTCACACAATCACGCACTGCGGAGTGTGTACGATCTTTCCCTGCATTTGCTTGTATCAAGTGAATAAACTAAAGACATACACACAAACGAAATTATGGTGTTAGTATACCGGTAAATATTGAGCTAAATCTTATATTTGCTCCATCGTATAATAACAAACTTGAAGCTGAACAAATCAAGCAGACATTCTTGTTTGCGATCAAATTCAGCAAGCTTTAAAAACGTTACGTCTTATATGTACTACTTACCTGTATTTTCACAATCCAAATGAGAGTTATGACGAAAATAACTACCCAACGTTCGTGACAAGGCGTTTTATAGCCACCGCAAAACGGACGTCCCGTTTATGTTGCCACTTTCTTGTGCAATCCCCAAGGTGACTAAAAATAGTATCTGACCTTTAACCCTTCAATCACCCATTCGTTAGTACAAACTTAGGGAGCCCTCTTGAAACTCCTCCCTTCCCAGGTGATTATTGCAGTGTGCTAAAATGGCGGTGTGAGTGACAAGCTCAACAAGTTCAGGAAAATCTCTCTTTTCTCCCGTCGGGTTATCGTTTCTCGGCGGAAGGGAATCTATTCTACTTGTGCGTTGTACTAAGAAGTTAGTTTCAGTTACTTGGATTATGGAGGCGCAGAATTATACGGCAACATGGTTGGCGGAATGGCTTCACAGTTGGCCCCGACTTATGATATCACAGGGTTTCATGGAGACTAACTCGACGTTCGCTCCAGACGACTACGATTATTTGGAGGTGAGATTTTCTTTAATGCCCGGTTCTATGGCAAAACTTTTTTGGAATATACAAATGCAACTACTTTTCAGTAATAATCCTAATAAATAAAATGTATTTATATTTGTGGTACGAAGACGCTGAAGATAAACACAAACTTTAAAAATGTGACGACGACGAACGAGTGAGAACTGTCAGAGTCAGAATTCATTGCTGCGAACACAATGAATACGATGCACCATGCCGCAGTTCAAATAATTGTTTATTACAAACGGTCACCCATACCATTCATTGGGTTAGGCAGTCGGCATCTTGAAATTAAAAATGCTGTTAATTCTGGTTTAGTAAATTCATATTTGCGTCGAAGTTTTGATTTCCAGCAACTCAACGTTAAACGATCGCACTGCAATTGAAAACAATTCGTCATTGGTGTTTGTCAACTGAAATTTCTTTAATTCAAAAGATTTCGTTTTTTTTTTTTTTTTCAACACTTCAGCTAATTAACTTCTTTCGTAAACAAAGAGCGTCGTTTGTTTATTTAAACAGTACCATTTCACGCCTAATAGTGTTCTGGCTTGCGTTCTAAATGTCATCTCTGCATTGCTTGGTAATTATTGGTTTGGTATGGATTTCAGTCTGACGCTGTCAACGCCGCAGTAGCAGAGTCGGAGACGAAATTAAAACTCCTGATATAATAATATACAGACCGTGTAAGCTGAAAAGCTATTTGAAGGCAAACATGGCCTTATATCTATGATGCGTACTCAGAAAATCTGTTTATTGTTGGTAGGCTTTCCTTTCAGTTTCAATTATTGTGTCTAGTTTAGTAAATAATCTATTGTGTTGATCGAGCAAGCTTTTTGTTACTAATGCCATGCTAATGCACACTTCTGGCTTCTATAGTTCACATACATGGTAATTCCGTAATGGGTTTTGTCATTTTTTTATCGCTCTTCATGTGTGCTGCATTGTATATTTGCAAGAATTTACGCTACAAACCGTACCAGCTGGCTGCAAGTGTCAGAAGGTTAACATTGTATGTACTACTGTAGTACTATGATCTGATGTTATATGGTAAACTCAGCAAGGGAACCCATTTTGTTTATAGCTAGGGTCTGAAGTGTGTTATTACACGAGTACTACTCAGCGTTCTCTGCAACTCTTCTTATTTCTTTTATTCAAATTATATAGCAAATCCAGTCGAACAATAGCCTCGCAGTAAACCACAGTCCATTAGTCAATATCGCCTTTTGTTGGATACACTGTAAAGTAATGTCCATTGGTGTAATGTCATGCGATCGTTAACACCACGTACTGTAGCCCACTGTTGTGCCCTCGCTTAGTCATGATTTACAGAATTTTCCTGCATTGTGAGTATGCGTTTCCGCTAAAATAAAAGAACCAAAGCCCTATATCTCCACACCTATTTAATCAAGTGGTACCTAGTAATTAGGGGGTTGACCTTGACCTAACTCTTTGATGAGTTGATTTCATTCTTTCTTCTGCCCTCTTCAACCACCTAGATGATAAATAACACTATCAGTTGCAATATAAGCCACACTCATATTTATGGTTAGAGAATGAGTACTTGCTAATGTTTATTGTGTTATTATATGCCTTAGCAGGAAATTGTAAGGAAACCGAAAATTAAATGTATTTCTTCCCTGAAGTGTTCATAAAATTCAATCATATTCATTTTATTTTCTATTCTGTTTCAAACGTAATATTTTTCACTTGTATATCTTGAGAGTTTGTAATGGTTAATTAATGGCGACTATAGATACATTATTCTAATAATAATATTATCGTTATTAATGTACTAAGAATTGAGGTCACAGGCATGATTCTTATTTTAAGCTTGTAACAACTTTGTTTTATTTATTTGTAAAAAAGAAAAAAAACTTTGACTTAAAGGGCCTCAGTTGTCGTGTAGCATCTTGTTCAATGTGTTTCTTTGTGACCCATAGAACGCCTGTAAAGAATGAATTTGTTTGTATAATTGGAATGCCTGCTACATAGCGAGTGTGGTGATGTTATAACCCCACCCCCACCCCAAATTGAATTGAAACAGTTTTCTTGATAATTTCCAGAGTTGTTGAAATAAGATTAACCACCAAGTTAGATGTATTTAAATCTCATTGAACCACTTAACTTATCAGGTATTATGATGTTGAACGATTGGATTTCTATGCCAGGGATTAGATATAGAAACCCGTGGAATGTTGATTCAAGTTTCACATTTGGAGTGGTCATTTGTTGCGAGTGTGAACTGAACAGTTTCTTTCATTGTAGTTTGCCCGGTTCTCCTCAACCTTTTGATCAAATTTAATGTTTTTGTTAGTGTAATCTTTGAGAACCAAGTCAAAATCTTGAATGTTTGAAATCACTGTGACAACTACAAATCTTCTCATCAAACAAAATATTTCTCTAATTTCATTTTTTGTTTTCACTTTGTGAAGCAGTGTTATGATATTTTCATAACAAAGAGGAAACTTTTCATAATATTTTTAGAATACACTCATTTTTGTTTTTAGTGCATAATAACAAATACTATTTGTTTTCCTTCCCTGAAAAACAAAGTTGTTAATTATTCACAATTTTAGCAACTGCACCACAATTATTTTTTTGTCTGCAGTTTTCAAACTGAAGTCAACTGTCACCTTTCTCAAAATAAAACCGACATAATTTTTTTTATATTTATTTTGATGAAGACTAGCAGGCAATTGGAAATAATATTTATTTAGTCCGAAATTGTCAATATTTGTTAAAAAAAACAACAGACAAACCTTTTGGCAAACGCTTTGGGTGAAACATTATGGCAGCAAAGGAGTTAATTTGCATGAACTGTTTGTGCCAGCGAAAAATGTCCTTTGATCAGAAGCAACATTTTATTGCTATTCAATATTGTTTGCTGTTGGTCAGTTTGTGCCTGCTTGACTGATGTATTTCTGAACTTTGTGAACAGAAGTACTCAAATAAGGAAATCTCCAGTTTTTAAAACACAATATGAATTAAGAATGACTTTTCATAAACTGCATAGCTGAAAGTGTTTGTGGTAATATTAATGTTTAAATGTACATTATTCTATAGTTTTCTCTATAACTATACAAAAATCATACTGCTTTCTCCTCCATTTTAGTAGAAAGACGAGTATAATCAGGTTTATGCTTGACAACAGAGTAGGCCTACTATTTAAGGTGTGGATTTCTTTATAATGTCTTATTGTGAACTTTTGTGGGATTTCCCAATTAGGTTGAGAGGTTTCACATTCTTAGTTTAATACTCTATAAAATTTACTTTCACATTTTTTACCGACAACATTTTTGTTTCAAATCATGTTTTCTTTAAATTCACAGTTTATAATCTACCAGACATTCCTAGCAATTATGATCAGAAACATCAATGAATTTTTTCAATGTTTCATGATGGAAAGTTTTTAAAATGCATTATTTCATTTTGCAAGTGACAACATTTACCGTACATAAACTTCACACTTCATCAAATTCACTAAATTTTGTATCTGGCATTTTTACTGGTATTCTTAATCCTTCAACTGCCAAAGTCTATGTTTGGTACCTTTCAACTTTTTTTTCATATTTTGTTCAAAAGTTTCGATCAAAACCTGATCAATTCAAAATTATGTCCTCCTGTTCCAAAATTAACAACAAATTCTTATGAAAATAAATACAAATTTTGATGGGGAAAATTATGTCATTTAAAACATTAATAAAGACAAAGGAAATTTTGCCATGAGAATTGTCAATACTTTAACTGAAAAATACTTGATTCAGGTATTCGTACATAACATGTTGCTATTCTAAAGTAATTAGTTTAAAAGTGTATGCTTTTTGTTTATAAATTTAAAATATACCCACTATGTGGTACTATGATCAGGTTTCAGCTCAATACTTATACTCCTGTTTAGCATTCAATTGGACTGGACTGTAATTTTCCATTAATGTCAAAGCCTAATTTAGTAATAATTAAACATACTTAAAATATATTACCTTAGTCAATGCATTGCATGGTTTAATATGCACTGTATACAACATGTGTGAATATACTTGACGCATGGAAAAATTGGGGACAAAAAAAATCAAATAAGTGCTGCTCAATGGCTGTGTGCTTTATTTAACCTTTGTAGTCCACACTGTGATTTTACCCTGAGATACAAGTATGAAAATGAGATAACATTTTATACAGAATGTATGAGAGGCCATGAGATCACATCAGCTTCGTTAACCATTTGAGCGTAGAGTGGAAAACCCGGAATGTGAAAACTATGGAAACATGGAAAGTAAAAACTACTGTCGTATATTAGAAACGAATGTTAATAATAAACAAATGTTAATATATTCATGTGTTTTTCAGTTTCATTATATATATATTTTTTACATAAAAAAGGAGCTTGAATAACTTTTAATGTTTCCGAGGTTTCCATGTTTCCGGGAAATTTCACTCTACACCATTTGAGCGCCAAAGGCAACTTTTGTCACCTTTCACAAATAATTAACCTGCATAATGTTTTCAATATTTTTAAATCAAGACCTGTTCTTAACCTTTTCACCACCAGATTTCCTCGCCAAAATTATTCTGCACTTTTTTTTAATATTCTACAATATCTCTGGAAATAAACCCTAATTTTGGAGCCAGTAGATATAATTTGTGTCAATTTTCAGTTTTTACTCAAACAATTTGGCTATTTAATTTTGTCCCAATCTTCTGAAGGAACGTGCAGACTATAAACAGGACTATTTTGTGAATTTGTGATGAAAAGAGGGAACTGGTGGTGAAAGGGTTAAAGGTTAAATTAAAAAAAATGCATAAAAATGTGTAAAATGTTGCCCCAAATTTGTGTAGGGAGAAATTGTGTCAAAGGGTTAAATTCAGATCTGATTACCAGTTTTTCAAATTCCCTTTCAAATAAATTGTACATTTTTGTAATATAAATCATAAACACCAATATTTTAGACAATGTATTTATTGACACAACACTTGTCTTTGATAAATATAGCAACTAC